ACGAAAATTTATTGGATTTTTGTGATAAAAATTCTGATGTTTTGGGGATGCAAAATCAAGATGCGAAAACAAATTTAAAGTCGATTGATACAAGCTCTGTAGAACGGATTGCTGAAATGGTAAACTGCATTCGTTCAAATGTTTCATCATCAAAAACAAGATTGAATGCATTATCTCGTTCTGGACTTAAAATTTCAACGAAATATAGTTTAGATCCTGCTGATATGAGTTTAATATATAGTTTAACTCCTTTTATAAATTCAGACGATCATGAACATAGCAATAACAAGATGTTGGATGAATGGTTGAGATTGTCACCATTTATACTCAAAAATGATAATGATTTGAAACAGAATTGTTTTTCGCGATCGAGCAAAGAAAAGAATTTCAAAAACGAGCAATGGAATAATGAAGATTGCTTAGATGATAAATCTGATAATTATATTTGGTCCGATTTTGATGGCGAAAAATATGAATCTTCTAATGGAACATGTCCCGAAATTATGAATAACGATCTATACTTTGATAATGGACATCTTGAAAATCGTTCCAACGAATCATTGGATACATTGGGTCTGCCTGAGGTCAGAGAATTAATCGAAACTACCGATGAATTCTTTCAAAATGGCATCAGCGATAGTGCAAATGAGATTATAGCCGAACTGAACGTAAATGATACGTATGTGACTATTTATTATTTATTAAATGAAATTTTTGAAAAAGTTTATGACATACTCTCAGATGTAAATGAACAATGTAGATCGTTATCATCTTCTGTTTCTGAACATTTGTCAACTTCAACATCATGTTTAAGTGTGAAAAATAATGATTACGAGCTGAAAGAAGACGAAAAGTATCAGAACAATCAAAATGCTTCTGTTGTTGTTGTACACGAGATTATTCACCATGTGATAGATATGTACGATGAATTTAAAAATGTGAAAGCCAGTAAAAACGTAGATCTAAAAGAAATAGAAAATTGCTATACTGTGAATCACGAAAACGGAGTAATCGATCAGCAAATCAATAATTTGATAACGTCAAACAACGATGAATTGGAAAAAGAATCTCTTCGAAATGAACAAACTGCACCTATTGCTATTGCTTCTGCGAATTTGATTGAAATAAATGAAAAAAATAATGAATCTCTTGAAACAGCAGAAGAAGCTGATGAAATGATGGAAGCAGATGCAATTTTCGAATTCCATACAATAGTGAAGAAGAAACAAACTAATATTGATGACAAAGCATTTGAATTAAATTTCCGCGTAGAGAAAAACCATAACATTGAAAATATTGTTGAAAATAAAATATCACATAAGCATGATACAGAGGATAATAAAGTCGAGAATTTATTTATTTTGCCGTCAAATACAACTGCGAATGTCATTAATATTGGACAAGATAGAAATTCGAATAATTCGCTTGAAAATGATAAAAGAAAAAGATTACATAATATCACGGATGTTTCTGACTCTATAGATACATGCATCGATTGTATTCATTGTATGAAATTTTATACAGTGAATTACGATCAAGAATGTCCTTCGTTAATTTCTATAAATGAAGAAGAATCGAACGAAGAGATTACAAATTTGAACTATGATCGATTTAACGATATAAATGACAACACAGATATTCAAGAAGAAAATCAGCATAATGATCTTACGAATGATATATAAAAATAGCAAAGAATTATCTAATCGCGTTTTAAAAAGTACGAGAAATATTTTTCTACAAAAAAAAAAAAAAAGAACGCGATCAATTTTTTTTTTTATAGTTGCAGAAGTATTCTTCTTCAAAGATATAATATTTATTTTAGTGAAGTTTGCTGAAGTACATTACATTTTCTTTTACATTTATTCCTTCTTGTGACGAAACAATAACAAAATAACCATCATTTCTTTCTTGCATGTTATTACAAACTATAGGAAATTTTTTTTTTCGTTTATTATTAAGATTTTTTTTTTATTTATTTTAATTTTAATTTACATGAATTTGCAATGAGAAGTGTATATCGAATAAGATACGTTTTATTAAGTAGAAAAAAGAGACAATTGAAATGATAAAATTAGTACATTAATTTATATTTTATCTTCACAAAGTTTTCGTTTAATTTATTTCCTATTGTTTACAGTTGTATTGTATGCATTACTCACGCTCTTAAATAGCTATTTTTGCACACTTCCTTTTGTGAGTCCTTTCTTTATTTTTTTTACTTTTTATTTGTATTGAATACATGTTTTGTGAATAAATCAATTTCAAAAAAAAAAAAAATAACAAGATACAAGAATCCCAAACAAACCATTTTAATATCCTTTGTAATATACATTTTAATGTTTGTCTCAATCGATTTTGTAACGTGACTTTTTACTTGAAACATTCGAAGAATGAACAAGAATCACATACTGCTTTTCGTTTTTGAGGTAAGCGTATATTTGACTATTGATATTGATGATTTCTTGTTTATTTTTTTTTTTCCTTTCTTCATATTCATAGATAAATTTTTTAAAAATACTATAATGTTTTGCATTTTGTGTTACAGGAGAAAATACAGTAAACGGCGATCACTCTGATGCTCATCACAGTACATTTTCTCAAAGTAGTAAAGAGGTTTGTTTTTTCATATTATTCTTATTAAATACTATATTATCCTCGAGTTTTATTAGAAATATACAAAAAACAGTAAACAGTATCTTATTCAATTTTATTTTTCTTGTATAACTGATTAAGAGAACTTAATAAATAACCTAATAAAGCTCAAGGATTTAAATCTATATGTTATAACAAAATTCATATATATGTGATATTCTATATATATATATATATACATATATATACAGAATGAGTTACGTTATTATCATATATGCTACAACTTTTATTCGATTAATAACATTAAAAAACAATAAGAAAAAATATTAAATATGTTCTACGATATAATTTTCGTGCAACTTCGATTTTCTCTTCAATGCAAAGTTATAATATAAAATAATATAAATAATTGTATCTTCCTTTTCCCTTTTGTCAATCGCGTAAGTTCCCTTTTCTCATAATAATTATTTTTCATTCGTGTTTTTCATATTCATGTTCAATTATTGATTCATTCTGTATATATAAAGCAATATTTCATAAAATGTTCAAGTTCTTACACATTCTTATCCTTTACTAAATATTTCTAACGAATTTAATTCGGATCTCTTTTTTATATGTGAGAAATGTTGGGAATTTTTCGTCTAAGAACAATCTTAAATTTCGTTTACAAATCATCATTTCACAATCTCATCCTCGGCTGTCAAATGAGTCGTAAGAATCATGCACAAATGCTGCTTTTTCATTAACTGTGATACATCATGCTATGAATTAAGGTAGTGCGCCTATAGTGTTCGCTTGCATGAATCTAAGGATGACCGATTATTATGGACATAATAAAGATCATGCAAAACGCTAAAGGGCGAAGGAGAAGAAAATGAGACACGCGTGCGCGTTTGTTTATATATATATATGTACGTATGTATGTACGTATATGCATATAAATCCATTGACAGAATGACATGTTATATTCAAGTAAAAGATCTTAGGAGAAAAGAACACGCGCGTGCGCGTGTGCACGCTTGTAGGGAGAAAGAAGGAGGAAGAGAATTGGCTACTTGCATGTGCATGCAGAAAGGTTTATGGTTACGGTTGGGACCTTCCGTGTTAAGGGTTCCGTGTCGCAGGATGTGAGCGTTAGCGAGGAGTCACCGAAAAAGGAAAAAAGAAGAAGAAAGGCCTTAGAACACCCTCTTTCCTAAAGAAGAAGAAAGAAAAGAAGAAGCCAGTCGAGGCGTAGGTAGTCCTAACTTTGGTACGTATATATGTCAAACACGATAATGGGATTGATCTTTCTCTAATATCCAATTTCTATATAATTCTCGATTGCACATTGATTTTTTTTCTTTTTTTTTTTTTTCTTTTCCTCAATTATATTGATTGTATAATTATATATCGATACGCATTACATCGAGCAAAATTGATAAGTAATAATTCACACGAGAAAAATTTAAAGATAAAAACTGTAAGTGTTAAGATTTCTTGATATTTAGTAATGATAAGTAATAATAAGTACGCGATATATATATCGATAATTTCAGTATTTCGGAAATACTAAGAAGAAATACAAAGATAAAAGGTAGGAAATTTTTATCTCAGGATTTTTTTTTCTTTTTTTTTTTTGCTTTCCTTTTTTCTTTTTTTTTTTTTTTTTTTTTTTTTTATTA